CCCGCCTCCCCCGCCGCTCCGGGCCGCTCGCGGAGACGTGCAGGGCCCGCCCGGAGCGCGAGGGGGCGCGAGGGGGGGAGGGCTGGCCGGCGCGCGGAGGGGACCCCGAGGTCCGGGCCCCAAACTCCGAGCAGGCCCCGAGCTCCAGGCCTCCGCCCGAGCAGGCCCCGAACCCGGGCAGGCCCCCAAGCAGGTCCTGCCCTCCAAGCCGGAAGCACCGCCGCGGACGGCGCTCTGGCGAAGGGCCTGGCCGGCCGCCCGCCGGAGCCCGCGGACCTCGGCCTTGGCCTCCAGCGGGGCCTCCGCAGACTCAGGCCCAACCGCAAGGCCACCCCAGCAGCGCCCGCCGTCCTGAGTCCGTGAGCCCCGAGCAGGCCCCGTTCCCACGGGAGGCAGGCCCAGGAGTCTCAGGACCCCGTGGTGACCTGGGGGACCCACACGGGCAGGCTTGCCCTGACCACACCAGCCTGGCTCGGGTTGGGATGGGCATAGTGGTTTTTGGACCCGTGCCAGCTCCAGGTTGTTAAAGCCCCTGCCGGGCATGGTCAAGCCTCTCCTTCCTCACTGAATGGGTTCCTCCATAACGCTCAGGCCCTTGCTCTGTGCCAGGCACTGTCCTGGAAGTGACAGCGGGTCAGGGACGCGGCCTTCCGCCCAGGTTGCTGTGTCGGGGGTGGCCACTTATAAGTCCAGGTTATTGCCTTGTTGAGTGCCCTCCCCCCTCCCGCCGCTCACCCCTGGCAACAGCCTGGGCAAGCTGCAGGCTCACCCAGTTTAGGGAGATAAGGTATAGGAGAAGGGGGGAAGTCAGTGGTTTACAAGACAGCACCTGAGTTCTCTCATTGAAGAGGGGCAGTGCCTGAAGGGTGTTGGGGGCACCTTGTGGATGGTGGACGATGTTGGTGAGGGTCCTGGCTCCTGCTGTGGCTCAGGTACAAGATTTGGGGATTGATGACCCAGTTGTGGAAGCTGTACCCGAGTCATTATCCAAAGGCCTTTTGGTTGCCACCCCTCTTCTTACTGTTTCCTTTTCATGATCAGCCTTTGAAATAGCAAAGCCAACTCCCTAGTGTGGCACCCAAGGCGCTCAGCCCCTCTCCGGTCTCCCTCCCTGACTTGTAATCCAACCACAGCCACACTTTCACCTTCCCTGCTGCTCCCTCCGTTCCTTGGAAACACCCCACTAGACTCCGAGCTTCGAGCTTCGGCATTCTGCAGGCAGGTCTTTTTGTCTGCTTTCTCCAGCGCCTGGCAGAGCAGGTGCTCAAAACACAGTTTTTGAATGGCGCAATGAATTCCTTCGAAACCCTCAGCTTTCCGACATAAAAGTCGGTGCTAATTGGATCTTATTTTCTTCAAAAGATTTTGCAGCAGCTGAATGTTTTCACACATTTGTAAAGGGTATGAAGAGCACGTATGAAGATCTATCACTCTTTTCTTGTTTGCAAACACATTGCAGACAAGCGCAGGGCTTTCTAGCAGGGGTGAGGCAACAGGGGACCGTCCCAGAGGGTGAGGGAGGTAAGGCTGTGCCTGATGGATGAAACGGGACTCCCACAGGCAAACAAGACAGGGGAAGGCATCTAAGTGGGGAGAGGCCCGGCAAGAAAGTGCAGACCCAGGGTGTCCCTGGAGAACAGAGAAGGGGAGGAACGGGTGATGGTGGTGGGTTGGGGAGTCTGAATCACTCCATCTACTTTTGCAAACTGTGGAAGGATCCAAGAAGTGTTTCAGAAAGCCAGATCCTGGCTCTGTGTAGGGGGAGCTGGAAAGGAAAGGAGCTGTCGGTGATGAGATGATTTGGGAGGTTCTTTCCTTTTAGATGGCCCCAAGACAGGACGAACGAGATGATTCAATGCAACCACATTTATTGAACACTTATTCCATACAAAGCAAGAAAAAAAATGGGATGTGCTTGTTGGAAGCAGACATTACTGATTCTGGTTTTAAGCCACCCCTGAATCAAAGAAATCCAAACTAAACAGAACATTAAGGAATTATTCCACTTCAAATGCCTGACAGTTTCCTCAAATGCAGCCCGTGACAGACACAAATACCTCCCAGGAAAGGACACTTTCCACTGCACTTTCCAGACTTCAGACTGAGACAGGCGCACTTTGTTCAGATGCATTTTATGAAGCTGTTAGTCCACAGGTTGGAATATATTTCACCATCAATAAAAAACTCACCTTAATTACATTTTCTTTTAAAAATGCAAAATAACTTACCAGATCTTTAATGCAATCCGAGAAGTAACTTAAGTTTTTGGTGACTTGAGACTCCTTCCAAACTCAAGTGGGTGTTCAGACTTAATTTAGGAATTGAGGAAAAGGCTAAAAACTTCTGGAAGAAATCAGAATAAAGTTCCCAGGACTTATTAGGAAGTTTTGGGATATAGTTCATATTCTAGACACATTTCTGAATGACATCATGTGAGATGGCTCCGGGTGTGTGAGTTGTACACGCCTGTGTTCACTGCATGCTGGAGCTCACCTGCACTAAATCCCCTAATCCCTGTCAGACTCAACCCACAGCCACGAAGCTCCAGATCCCACCACACCTCATAGGAGACGGAAACACTGACCACCCACCTGCTCTGGGAGCACTTGTTTTAGCTTTCTAGTGTTTTCATTCATTCATTCAATATAGATTTATTGAATCTCAATTCTGAAGAGCTCCAGGCCGGGTCAGACTGTGGGGATATAGTGGGGGAGGGGTGTGGTTGTGTGTGTGTGGCAAGGGTAGGGAGCAAGTACAGCAGTAAAGCCCAGCAATCCAGTCACTGGGAGCTGAGTCTGGAGGATATTGGGAGTTGGGTCCTGAGGGTGAGGCGTGTGCCAGGCAGGCTGATCCCAGACAAGGAAATCCTTCAGCAAGGGCCCAAAGTACTAAAGGGTGTGGTCCATCCAGAACCGTCAAAAGCTTTAGTGATATGGGCTGGGCGTGCGATGTACACCGAGCCAAGGAGTTTGGACTTGACCTTGTGGGTAACTGCAAGCCAGGGGAAATGCCTCAGTCAGGACTGGCGTGAAGCAGAGGTGGGGCTCGTGCCTGGCTGAGAATGGCCTGCTCTTTCCTTCTTCACAGGAGGAAGGGCTCAGCACCAACCACGTGCATCCTTGGCATCCTGGGAGCAGCTGGCCGAGAAGGGAGCCCACCTGCCAGACTCTGCCTTCCCTCCCCTGGCCCCCACTGCCGGCGCATCGGGGAATGCCCTGGTCGCACTCTGTAAATATTGTCACATGTGGCCCTGGCCAGAAGCTCGGTTGGTTGGAGAGAAGTCCAATTAAGGAATTATTCCACTTCAAATGCCTGACAGTTTCCTCAAATGCAGCCCGTGACAGACACAACTGCATTCAAAAGGTGGAAGGTTTGATCCCTGGTCGGGAGGCAACCGGTCAATGGTTCTCTCTCACATCAGTTTCTCTCTCTCAAATCAATTTTAAAAAATTGTCAGACGTGCCACCTGGAAGGTTTGCACTCAGGGTTCCCCGAAGGATTGAAAAATGTACTAATCGCCATGAAAATAACTTTTCTCTAGAAACTCTTGAAAAATGCATTAACTTATGGAAAAGTTGAAAAGCCAGTAGAAATTATACTCTTTACCTATATTCAGATATTTATTTTTCTGCACCATTTAACCCTAAATACCTCACTGCATCTTTCTTAGGAAGAAGGGACACAGCCTCCAACACCCCCCTAGTCACAATAACATCCTGATCATATCCATGACAATTTGTCATTGAAGCAATGTTATTACCTAAAAAAAATGTCTACACTGGAATTTCTTGAATTGTCCCAAGAATGTCCTTCATGGCCTTTTCTCTTAAAATCAGAATCCAAATGGGCATCAAGCATCCCACCTGGTTGTTCCCTTGAATCCAGAACTGCCCCTGCCTTGGTCTTTCCTGGAGGTCTCACAGTTTGGACTCTCCTGGTTGTCTCCTTATGTGAGATCTGGTGTGAACGTTTTTTGGCAATAATACATATTGTTTCCCACGGCACCCAATCAGAAGCCATGTAACCCATGTAAGCTCCCATTACTGGCCAAGGCTAGTTGCTTGGTTTCCACGGGTTCACATGGTGAAGATGTAAATCACCCTTCATAATTAATAGAATCAGGGTCAGTTTCCTCCTCCTAATGTGTGGTTTGACACTCTGAGAACAATAGGATGATCTGTTTCCAGCGGCCTCCGCCCCCCCCCCCCCCTCGCTTTTGTGTGCAATGGTGGTGTCTGTCTGAATCAA